CCAAATGGCGCTGTGAGATCAGCGTCCGCGGGCCTCTGCCAGGTGGGAGGGCAGCACCGGGACCCTCGGCACCAGCTGCGCAGTTCGGCCAACCCAGGGCTGGGTTTGTCCTGTGAAATGCTGGCCATTTTCTGAAAAATATCACACGCCCCCAAGCTGAGAGCTGTGTGATGGGGGAGCAAGGAGGCAGGGACTGGAAGTCAGGACTGCCAGTCATTTGCTGTGCCACAAATGTCCCCGGCATGCAAGGTTTGTACCCGTGAGTCGTGTGACCCACGAGAGAAATCCCATGTGTGCAGGCACTTGGGGGGATCAGAGCTGAAGGTGCGTATAGCCTGGCCCTGCTCCCTTTGATGTCCATGGCAAACTCCTCTTGATTTCGGAGGAGCAGGATCAGTCCCTGACCCCCTCTAAGCCTTGAGCCCCTGGGAGAAGGGCTGCCCAGCCATTGACTTAAATGGGATGGCCCTTTCCACCTCTCTGCACCCTTTCTCTTGGCTGGGAGGGGGAAATGCTGTTGTCCAGGGAGCCAGGGGTTGGTTGAACCCTTCCCAATGGCTTCTCATCCCTCGCCAGAGCTCAGGCCTGGGATGTCCCCACCTCCCTCCAGCCCCTTGGGATCATTTCACCCTGCCACGGGTGGGCATTAGCCCCAGGGAGACCGCACGGGGCACCGGGATGGATGCCCTGGGACAGAGGCCAGGCATCTCCAGGAACAGGTAGGCAGGGGACGTATCATGCTGGTCCCCCACCCTCTTGGCTGGGCTTGCTGGGGCCTCGCGGGGATGGGGATTCACTGCCTCGCTTCATTCGCGAAGGCGCTTCAAGTCCATCGCTGCTTGAAGGAAGTCGGAGGGAGAAGCCGTTTTGCTCCTTACCACCCGTATCTCCATGCTGCGGAGGGGGCAGATGGCACTGTGGCTGGATTGGGGCTAATGATTTGCACGGCTTCGGGGCTCCCCAGAGACATCGCGTCTCTTTGTTTCCCTTCCGCTGCCTTTTCCCGGACAAGGGAGACTCTCCCCCAGGAGTGGGTGTTGCTTAGCAAGCCCAAGGAAAACTTTGATCCTTGCCCCCAGCCAAGACGTTAAGAGCCTCAAAGGATCAAATTTAGAGCGGGTCCTGACTGGATCAGGGCAAGGGGGCAGCAGGGGGTCTGGGCCAAGCGACCCGAGCTGGGGGGAGTGGGTGTTCGTGGGCTATGGCGCGCGGGGGGGATGCCAGTAAGTGCTGGGGATTTTGTGTGGCTCTGCTCCCGCTGCTTAAGAGAAGGGAGCATGATTTGTGCGTGCTAGGGGTGTTCTCCAAAGCAAATCACCTGGGGCGCTGCCGGGGGCACGGGTGGGAAGGCGATCGGCATCACGGGGCAGAGGTAGAGGGTGCAGGTTGCTGAATCCGGAGTTGGGGGGGGGCGACGATGCTCCGCGCCGTCGCTGCTTGTTGGGAGGTGCCTTTGGGCAGCACCTCAGTGCATTTGCTCCCGTCTTGAATTTGGATGGGAAATGCCCACCCTCCCACATGGCAGAGGTCCTGCCTGCATTGCTCACCCCTCTGGAGGAGAGACCCTCCCAGGGTCTTCACCAGCCTGGGCAGGGGGGGCCTCAGAGCTGCCCTAACCCCATTGCAAATCAAGTGCCAGGTGTGTGGGGGGGGGAAGGAGGGCCCCTGTGGACCAAGGGCGCCACTCAGTCTGTCCCAGTGCCCTGGAAAGGCCCCCACTTGCACAGGCTGGATCCCAGGTGCCCCCCTCTTCCCCGGCCCGGCCCAGCCCTGCCCTGCGCTGCACCGGGCATCTCCCTGCGGCGGGGGGGGGGCAAGGGGGGAGGTCCCTTCTCAACGAAATCCAGCCTGCTGCGGGGCTGGCGGGGGCGAGCACCGGGGGGCCCCACCGGCACGGCGAGAACCGGGCTGCGGGGCGGGGCGCGCAAGTGAAAACCGCGCAGCTTTCCGCCAGGGCACGTGTGGCCCGTGCACGGCCTGAGTGCCTGCCTGGCCCCAGAGCGGGGGGGCACATCCATCCTTGTACACGCTGGGAGTGTGTGTAAATATACGTGTATATTGATACACCCCCCCATATGCATATATGGGGGCGTGTATCAATATACACGTATACACTTGTAGGTGTATTTTATATATTATATATAATATATACACACATATAAAATAAAGGGTGTTTGTGTGTATAAATATACTTATACACGTGTAGGTGTGTGTGTGTATATACACACATACACATAAAATAAAGGGTGTTTGTGTGTATAAATATACACTTCTACACATGTAGGGGTGTGTGTGTATATATATATATACACACACAGAATAAAGGGTGTTTGTGTGTATAAATATACACTTCTACACGTGTAGGTGTATTCTAGAGAGACAGAAAATAAGGGGTGTTTGTGTGTAAAAATATACACTTCTACACTTGTAGTTGTATTCTATATAGATAGAATAAGGGGTGTTTGTGTGTGTGTGTTTGTTCATTTATAGTGTTAAAGGCTGTACCCCTTTATCCACTACACACACACATAACTATATATACATATACACACACAGCTTTATAAATAAAATACAGGGGGGTGTTATGTGTGCATACATGCACATCCATGTTTATATCAAATAAAGGGGGGTGTACACACACTCACTCACATAAAGGTAGCGGGATGCATACATGTATATGCACACCCCCCCCCGGCATCTGCTCCTGTGCGCCTTGTATTTACACGCCTATCCAGCCTCGCGTGGGGTTTCGGTCTCTGCCCGCTGGGCACAGCCCACGCTCCCGTTGCATTTCCACCCCCGACCTCTTCCGAAGGAAACGCGACGCCGCGATTTCTCCCGGAATGACGCCGCAGGGCAGGAGCCGTGTGGCCGCCCGGCCCCGGCACACGCAGCCGCGCGGGGAGAGGGGCCCTCGGGTCCCCGCGTGGGCGAGCCAGGGGGTCCGCACATGCCGAGGGGAGCGGGTCGCGGCCCCCCAGGCTGCCTGGGGACCGGCTTTCCCTCGCCCCGACGTGGCTGGTCCCGGGAGCCGAGACAGTGCAAAGCCCCACGCGGCCCCGACCCCGGAGCAGACCCCGATCCTCGCCCCTCGCCCCTGGGGCACTGCTGGGGGTGGGAGGGGGGTCTCTACGGTCCTTGACGGGCCGGGCCGCTCCCGTGGGGCCGGGGCCGGGGCTGGCGAGGCTCGGA